TAATGGCTTCTACTTATTTTGGCTAAGTTTTTTCTTCCTTTCTCCTCCTCTTCTCTGACTTCCCTTTCTTGGCAAAGATTGCTTCTGTCTATTTACATGAATTCAGGGGATTTGGGGGCTCAACATCCTCCTTTCCCGCAGCTGTGCAATGGGAGCTTCCACTCTTGGTTTGCTGTTTTTTCTTCTTTCCTTTCCTTTGTTTTAACCAAATCTGGCGAAGGAAAGGAAGTGAAGATGCATACTGGTCCAAGAAATGCTTCTGACAGCATGCGGGATAGTACTCATCGATTCTTCGGATGTCTCTGGCTTGGGACTTGTTTCCAGCAGCTTTGCTTAAGGAGTCTGCCAACCTCTCTTCACGTGTCCTCTGTTTTCTTCAAACAAAAACTGAGGTTTTTGTGGACTATTTTAGGATTTTTATATGGGCCAAGGTGATTTTCTAAGCAGAGGGTTTTTATTAAACATTGGGCTTCTTAGTTTGGGCTTTATTTTGGTTGGGTTGTTTTGCTTGGGTATTGGGCTATTTTTTTCTCTTGTGCTTACCCATATGTTTGGGCCTAAGAAATGGGCTTGAGCCTCGAGGCTCCCAAGTAACCCGAGACTTTTCATTTTCCTGCCCATCAATGGGCCTCATGTTAATTTATTACCATCCATGTCACAACCCACTCAAGCAAGCCTCGGGCATTTGAGTGGCTTGAGCCCACTTAAGCTTGTAGTGCGATTGGGTGTGAAATAATAATTTCCCGCTTGGCATGGCATGTTGCTTGGCATGCTTTTAAATATGCCGCTTGATAGGATAGTTGGCATGGATTTGCATAGCTAAATGCATTTTATAATTTTAATCTCAATTCCTAGTTCAACGGATTTTTTATTTAACATGGCGTGCGGAGTACGACTCGTGTATGTCATACTTTCATGTGCTCCAAATCGGATCTTTTTCCAATAATATATCGTCTTGGGCTAGAAATTTATTTGGGCCCAACCATGGACTTTTTGGGCCTCAACAGGAATATATAACATAGTTGAGCCAAATTACGTGTATTGATTGAATTGATTTGTCAATTGTGTTTGACAAATTACAATATGCACGAGCAATTATTCTACTTTAACAAAAGTAAAGAGGATCCTCTTTTAAAATTCATGCATATTTATTGGCCCTTTGATATACTAAAATATTCATGAAAAATGATATACAATATGAAAATGTATAAACTTTTGGAATGGTTTCTTCAAGCACGTCATTGTGTGATTTTCATAATTCTACGACATGCTTTCTTCCTACCACTTTAACAAGCCAATCTAGTGTTCCATTAGAGAGTACAAGATATCCCATAGATATTCCAATTACCACACCAGATGCATACCCCATCAACACTACCTTCCAATCAAAACCATTCCCATGCTCCAAATCATCCTCTTGTTGGATTGACGATGGTGGTGACTGATGTGCACTGCATGTTTTAGAAAGTGGCAATCCACACAATCCTGTATTTCCACTATATGAATCATTTTCAAATGTATCAAATTGCTTGCCATGAGGTATGGGCCCCACAAGTTGATTTTTGGAAATATTGAACTTTGATAGTGACGTCAAATTTGCCAGTTGCTTCGGAATATCACCAGCAAGTTTGTTTGAAGACAGATCTAACCATTCAAGATTGCTCATTTCGCCAAATGATGGTGGAATTGTACCTATAAGCTCATTATGAGAAAAGTTAAGCTCCTTCAATGATTTAAGCTAACTGATTACACTTTAAATCTCTCCTCTGAAAGTGTTGTTTGAGAAATCAATAATTGTGAAGAATGTCAGGATCTTCTCCATTTCAAATTCGATGCCTTTAATTGTCACTACCACAGTATCCTGATAGTAGCCCTCTCCCATATATTTCAGTTCATGTTCTTGCGAGTTTATCATGGCCATCAAATGTTCAAAATATTTTGTTAGCAAAAGACCACTAAACCGATTGTTGGAGAGGTCTATGACATGCAATTTTTGGAATGGAAACTTAGTTTTTGGCAAGCATATTTCACCATAGAATTTGTTAGACCTCAAGATAAGAACCTGCAAATTCAGAAGAGATTCCAGCCAATTTGAGAATGTGCCTTGAATTTTGTTGTTTCCAAGGTCTAGAACTTCCAACTCTCTACATGTGAGCAAAGTTGGCGGCAACGACCCTTCCAACTGTTTTCCATTAAGATTAAGATTTCTCAAAAGTTTTCCCTTAGAAAATGTGCTAGGAATTGCTCCATGAAATTTATTATTCCGTAGATCCAAAACAGAGAGGCTCTGACTGAAGTTCCCTATGCATTGATGAAGCATACTTAGGCTGCAGATTGTTGGAGGCATCTCTCCAGTGAATTGATTGTTTGATATGAAAAAGTAATATGAGGAAAGTGGTGGAATTGGAAGCTCTCCTTGAAGTGAATTGTTGCAAAGGTCAAGATACTGGAGGTTTTTCCACCGAAGCTGTCCTACAGTGCCAGTCAAAGAGTTGTGAGAAAGACCTAAATACGACAATGAATCTTTCCCCAAATCCAACAACTATTTGGGAATGTCAGCTTGGATTCGTTTGTGGGAGAGGAATAAGCTACCCAAATTTTGTGAGCTTCTTAGAAAGTATGGGAACTCACTTATGTTACAAGACGACAAATCTAGTGCCTCAAGTTGAGGCCAGGTGTTGTTACTCAAATGGTTGAAGCTCAAGGATAGATGATTAAAGGAAAGATTAAACGCCCTGAGACTTTGGAGTTTTGAAAACTTTTCAAACTCCAAATTTCCACTCAAGTTATTGGATGATAGATCAAGCAGTGACAAAGAACGAGATTGGAAGTCAATGATATTACCGCTGAGTTGGTTGGATGATAGTCCAAGGACCCTAAGGTTCTCAAGTTCAAAGATTGATCTCAGAATTAGGCCATGAAACTTAATGATATTCCCGCTGAGTTGGTTACTTGTGAGGTCTAACCGCTCCAATGATGGCAAACTACCTGACCAAGATGGTATTGTTCCGTTGAGTTGGTTCTCATATAAAAAGAGCATGGTTAAGTGTCGAGGAATAGGACCCACTAGTTGTTGTTTTGAAAAATCATATAAAGAAGAGTTCAATGTCCAGTTGCTATCAACTTCTGGAAACTGACCGACATAATTGTTGCGACTAAGATCCAAGTAAGTGAGTGTCTCAAGATTTAAAAGCAACCATGGGATTTGGCCACCAAAACTGTTAGACAAGAGGTCCAACCACATGATTTGTGTGAGGTTACCAGGTAATGCAAGATGTGATCCTACAAAACTGCAATTGCTGAGATACAAATCTCTCAAAGACTTGAAATTTCTTGTCAGATGATGCCAATCTACTGAGATTCTAGTATAAGAGATATCCAACATCTCGAGCGGACTGCTCCAGTTAGATTTAGGGAAATAACCTGTGAGGTTATAGTTATCGTTTAAATCTAAGAGTCGAAGATTTGGTAGGTGGAAAATGCTTTCTGGGAATTTTCCTTGCAAGTGGCAATCAGAGAGTTCAAGAGTTTTCAAAGAAGAAGACAAATTTTTGAACGAATCAGGTACAACTGATGACATATCAACACAGGAGAAGAATTATAGGAGTATATAACATAGTTGAGCCAAATTACGTGTATTGACTGAATTGATTTGTCAATTGTGTTTGACAAATTACAATATGCACGAGCAATTATTCTACTTTAACAAAAGTAAAGAGGATCCTCTTTTCAAATTCATGCATATTTATTGGCGCTTTGACATAATAAAATATTCATGAAAAATGATATACAATATGAAAATGCATAAACTTTTGGAATGGTTTCTTCAAGCACTTCATTGTGTGATTTTCACAATTCTACGACGTTGCTTTCTTCCTACCACTTTAACAAGCCAATCTGGTGTTCCATTAGAGAGTACAAGATATCCCATAGATATTCCAATTACCACACCAGATGCATACCCCATCAACACTACCTTCCAATCAAAACCATTCTCATGCTCCAAATCATCCTCTTGTTGGAATGATGATGGCGGTGATTGAGGTGCACTGCATGTTTTAGAAAGTGGCAATCCACACAATCCTTTATTTCCACTGTATGAATCATTTTCAAATGTATCAAACTGCTTGCCATGAGGTATGGGCCCCACAAGTTGATTTTTTGAAACATTGAACTCTGATAGTGACGTCAAATTTGCCAATTGCTCCGGAATATCACCAACAAGTTTGTTTGAAGACAGATCTAACCATTCAAGATTGCTCATTTCGCCAAATGATGGTGGAATTTTACCTGTAAGCTCATTATGAGAAAAGTTAAGCCCCTTCAATGATTTAAGCTTACTGATTACACTTGAAATCTCTCCTCTAAAAGTGTTGTTTGAGAAATCAATAATTGTGAAAAACGTCAGGATCTTCTCCATTTCAATTTCGAAGCCTTTAATTGTAACGACCACAGTATCCTGATAGTAGCCTTCTCCCATATATTTCAGTCCATGTTCTTGCGAGTTTATCATGGCCGTCAAACGTTCAAAATATTTTGTTGGCAAGAGACCGCTAAACCGATTGTTGGAGAGGTCTATGATATGTAATTTTTGGAATGGAAACTTAGTTTTTGGAAAGCATATTTCACCATAGAATTTGTTAGACCTCAAAATAAGAACCTGCAACTTCGGAAGAGATTCCAGCCAATTTGGGAATGTGTCTTGAATTTTGTTGTTTCCAAGGTCTAGAACTTCCAACTCTCTACATGTGAGCAAAGATTGCGGCAACGACCCTTCCAACTGATTTCCATTAAGATCAAGATTTCTCAAAACGTTTCCCTTAGAAAATGTGCTAGGAATCACTCCATAAAATTTATTATTCCGTAAATTCAAAACAGAGAGACTCTGACTGAAATTCCCTATGCATTGATGAATTTTGCCACTCAATTTATTATTAGACAAATCAAGGATTTGAAGGCTACTCAGGCTGCAGATCGTTAGAGGTATCTCTCCAGTGAATTGATTATTTGATATGAAAAAGTAAGATGTGGAAGGTGATGGAATTGGAAGCTCTCCTTGGAGAGAATTGTTGCGAAGGTCAAGATAATCAAGTGCTTTCCACCGAAGCGGTCCTACAGTGCCAGTCAAAGAGTTGTGAGAAAGATCTAAATCCCACAATGAATCTTTCCCCAAATCCAACAACCATTTGGGAATGTCGGCTTGGATTCGGTTGTGGGAAAGGTATAACCTCTCCAAATTTTGTGAGCTTCTTAGAAAGTATGGGAACTCACTTATGTTACAAGACGACAAATCTAGTAACTCAAGTTGAGGCCAGGTATTGTTACTCAAATGGTTGAAGCTCAAGGATAGATGATTAAAGGAAAGATTAAGGGACTGAAGATTTCGAAGTTTGGAAAACTTTTCAAACTCCAATGTGCCACTCAACTTATTGGATGATAGATCAAGATCCGTAACCTTCTCAAGTTCAAAGATTGATCTTGGAATCAGGCCATCCAACTTGTTATCCCTTAAATAAAGGTATTCCAAAGAACGAGATTGGAACTCAATGATATTACCGCTGAGTTGGTTACTTGCGAGGGATAACCCCTCCAATGATGGCAAACTTCCTAACCAGGATGGTATTGTTCCGTTGAGTTGGTTCTCATATAAAATGAGCGTGGTTAAGTGTCGAGGAATAGGACCCACCAGCTGTTGTTTTGAAAAATCATATAAAGAAGAGTTCAATGTCCAGTTGCTATCAACTTCTGGAAACTGACCGACATAGTTGTTGCCACCAAGGTTCAAGTAAACGAGCCTCTCAAGGTTTAAAAAGAACGACCATGGGATTTGGCCACCGAAACTGTTGTACGAGAGGTCCAACCTCATGATTTGTGTGAGGTTACCAAGAAATGCAAGATATGATCCTACAAAAGTGCAATTTCTGAGATGCAAAGCTCTCAAAGACTTGAAATTTCTTGTCAGCTGATGCCAATCTACTGAGATTCTTGTATGAGAGAGACCCAACATCTCGAGCGGACTACTCCAGTTAGACTTGGGGAAATAACCTGTGAGGTTATAGTTGTAGCCTAAATCTACGAGTCGAAGATTTGGTCGGTGGAAAATGCTTTCTGGGAATTTTCCTCTCAAGTGGCAATTATAGAGTTCAAGAGTTTTCAAAGAAGAAGAAAGATTCTTGAAGGAATCGAGTACAACTGATGACATATCAACACGGGCCAAATTAAGCTCCAGAAGATTGGTCAGGTTTTGAACAATTCTGTTGAAGCTAAAAGTATCTAGTCTTGCATCAAATTGGGAGAGATTGAGTGAAACCAAGGTGGAAAGGTGGGAAATTTCGGAAGGGATTGGGCCACTGAAATTGGAGTAAGAGAGGTCAAGGTGAGTCATACTTACAAAGCCACCAAATTTGGACGAAATTGGGGAACCTCTGAATTCATTCCAAGAGAGGTCTAGCCTCTTTAGATGGCCAAGAGAGAATAAGCTACTATTGGAATGGATATTGCCTTGAAGCCCACCAGAACCAAGGTTGAGACCGATCACATGACCAGTCATCTTTTCACAAGTGACTCCACTCCATGCGCAACAATCCTTGCCTTTCTGCCAAGAAATTGTCCAATTAGAATTGGAGTAAAAAAAAGCATTACTAATAGAAAAGGAGTTTTTGAATTGAAGCAAAGCAGAGCTGTCTTCGGGATGGCATAAATGCCCTGAAGAAAGAGAAGAGGAAGAGTTAGATGATGAACAAGTAGAGTCAAATTGACAAGTAGTAGAGAGCAGGAATAGGAGACAGAACCATGACAACCAAGCCATCTTTCTTTAAAAATCTAAAGTATATAGTTATGTGATAAAACAGTTGTGAGGAATTCCATACCGGATATGTTGATATTTATAACAAGCTTAATGAATAGTAATTTATCATCTTTAAAGATAACCAACCAAGCATCATTGTAAAGTTTGATGATAATTGACGTAGGCATTTCTGCGTGTTAAAATGGGTTCCACCTGTTACCTCCAACCTGTACTAATCAAATTGTCCAAATATTGAACACGCACAGAACGAGTATCAAAAAATTGACCATCAAAATCGTTCTGGCTTACCATTGACTTTTGCCAATTGACCATCAGAAACTCACCAGCTACCAAATTCCTTTTGCCTTCCATTCATCAGCTACCAAATTCCTAAACATGTATCATTACTAACTTTGAAGAAGCAATTCCTAAACATGATAATCCTTTCTTCTTCTTTTGAAAATCTATAAATAAATAAATAAAAATTTAAAATTAATTCAAAAACATATTGCAACTTAATTAGAAAAAAGAAAACAAAAAACAGGATGGTCGTGGTCGGGGAGGGAGGGGCTGCTCAGCGATGGCTGAGTGTGCTGGAAGATCTGGGCAGCGCGACTGGGATGAGACCAATGGCCAGAGAATGGTTGGGTTGGTTGGGGGGTAGGGAGAGTTTGGATGTGGCTGTGGCTTGGGGATTTGGGGAAAGAGAGAAGAGAGAAGGGTGTTGCTGTTGAGATTAATTATTTTTATTTCTTTTAGCTTTTCAATCTTATTTTTATTTCTTAGTTATTCATTTTTTAAATTGAATTCAAATATTTTTATTTTATTAATATTTTAATAGAAGTTTAACTGATTGAATTACATTAGCTAACAGTACTAAACATAGGGACTAAATTGGCTAATGGGATAAAACAAAGGAACTATTTTAGCATTAAAGCAAAAAATTTATAACAAACAATTAGAGCATCTACAATGGGCTCCCTAAATCATTTCATTGGACAAATTTTATGGAGAAACTGAAAAACATTTGCACCAAGTCTTTGATTTGTGGCTGTCTTTGGTGTTGGTAAAGTTTGACAATAAGGTTGTCCCATTGTCACAGAGGTGTAGGTCCATTGTTAGCTGCTGCACCAATTTGAATTGTTGGTGACATTATTGAGGGTGAAGGCCTACGTCTATTCATCTAATTGGAAAAATTTTGCGCCATGTCTTCGATATTTGGTCATCTTTCGTCTTAGTATGCATGTAGGCATTTATGCGTGTTAAAATGGGCACCTTAATTTTCATTGACTTGCAAATCTGAGTTTATAATTGACCATCAAAATCGTTCTTGTCTTCACTAGTAGTCATCAGTGACTTTTGCCCCCTTCTTCACGCTTTCATTAATTCTTCTCATCTGCTTCTCCATGGTTTTGCTTGTCTTTTCACATAGTTGGGTGTCCTGCAACATGTACTAATCAAGTGGTCCAAATATGATTCGAATTTGCGTATTGAAGAAGCCGGAACGAGTATTCAGAAATTGACCATCAAGATCGTTCTTGACTTTTGCCCCCTTCTTCACGCTCTCATTAATTCTTTATGGTTTTACTTGTCTTTTCACTTTCCGTCTCCACTCTTAAGCATTTGATAGGCCTTAGGCCTTTAGTCCAATCTCTGAATGAACATTCAGAACAAATTCATAAACAAAAATTTCTTTTAAATTTTCATTTATGAAAATCCATTATACTTCTCTAGGGCTAAAGAAAAGAAAGGAGTTAATAAATAAAGTCATCAACATAAAAATTAAAACAATCCTTTAGATAAAATCTAAATAATATAAAAATTAAATCCTATATAAAGCTAGCTACTACAAACTCTCGGCCACAGTTTCTTTGAATCTTGCTCAATCTTTCACATTTTCTTTGATGCTCTCTCTCACATTAACATGCTAGAGTTTCTTGTGCCTTCCATTCATCAGCTACCAAATTCCTAAACGTGTATCATTACTAACTTTGAAGAAGCAATTACGGCACTAAAACATGTTAATATTGCATTAATTTCATTACCTCATTGAACTTTTCCGCAACATTGTGTTGCCATGAGCTATGGGCCCCACAAGTTGGTTTTCCGCAACGTTGAATTTTCAAGTGTTGTCAAATCTGTCAATGGCCCAGGAATCTCACCAACAAGCATGTTTGAAGAGAGATCTAACCATTCAAGATTGCTAAAATTGGACCTGTAAGATCATTATGAGACAAGTTAAGTCCCTTCAATGACGTTTTAGGAAGGTCCAGAGAAAGCTGTTCTACTTCTTTTTGGATTCGAGTATTTATTAACCTTAGTTGTATGGTTAGGAGTTCATTATTAAAGAAATATATACAACAATTAATTTGTATAAGTACCATGAATTTGTATAAGTCCCTTTGTTTTTAATTTGGTCAATTTGGTCCACATGTTTAGCATTGTTAGTCAATATAGTCCATTACCATTAAAATTGCCTTTAAATAACATGATAATCATTTCTCCTTCTTTTGAAAATCTATAAATAAAATTAAAATTAATTTATAACAATTGAATTAATTCAAAAACATATTGCAACTTAATTGAAAATCTTTCCCGACTTCCAACAACCATTTGGGAAGGTTCCCTTGAAATCGATTGTTGGAAAGGTTTATCTTGTACAAGTTAATTTTATGTTGAGGCCAAGTATTGTTACCGAAATTGTTGAAACTCAAGGATAGATGGTTAGAGGAAAGATTAAGATTGTTGGAACATACTAAGAAAATACAATTATCAAATGCATTAACAAAAGAAATCATATTAAGATGAAAAATAAGAAATTAGAACACGCGTATTATTGTAATTAGCAACTGAGAAAAAATTATGCTAATCACTATTAAGAATTTTGTAATCACAAAATAATATAAGAATCAGCTATTATATACTTCAATTAGGTACAAAATAGAACTATATTTGTATTTTACCTCCTCCTTTACATTTTTTCTTCTCATGTGCTTCTGCACGGCTTTGGTATTACACTGCAATGAAATTGGGACTATATCTATGTTATCTGTATTCTTGAAAGTTGACATGCCCTGCGCTCGTGCATGCTCCACAGCCTCCGGAATATTCATCGAAATTTATTCAGTATACTAAGGCTAATGGAAATCTCATGCGCACAACCACACATTTAGAAAATCAAAAGAGGCAAGTTAAGAAATAACCTTCTGGCTGACTAGTCCAAGTTAGCACACCCCACAGCGCAAAGTGAAGTTGGCAGTGTCAGTGTATCTCCTTTTACTGAGAAGCAGCATCATGGTATTAACGCATAATTTTGGTATACCTCAAGCATAAAATGGAACTAAGAGCGATGAAACACATATTACCTCAAGCATTTTGATAACATAGTAGGCAAAACATGGGAAAAAAGTTCAAACAAAATTAAATCTTTTTATCCCCTTTTTTCTGTTGGATAGGCATGGATTGAAAACTTTACATACAGGCTAAACACATCTGACATGTCCTATAGTTCTCAATCATCTTAAGTCGAGAACAAATTTATTGATTATTATTTTGAAAAGTTCATAAACCAGATTTTGCATGCACAGAGTAATAAGCGTGCACTGTTAGTACTATTTAGGTTCAACAACTAGGATGCCCTCAGTACATAGAGATCTGGAAAAAAATTTCAAGACAGTGTACTAGAAGTTAAAAAATATTGTCTCTTCAACTTGTATAGGTTTGTAAACTAGGTTGGTCGATGCATAGTGAACTAGAAAACTTCTACACACTGAACTACATGTTTAGAGTGGAAGTATCAGAAATAATCCCCTAAATCACATGCTCTGTATTTTTTATCATCTCAACATGCTAATTCCAGACTAAAAGCCCAAGGAACATTTAATGTTTTCACATATTATGTGTAGTAGTGTTTGTATGTGCACTATGGAAAGAAGCCACCATGAAACCTTAAGCACTACCTTTGTTGCTCTTTCACAAGATTAAGAGCGAGCCCGTCAACCGGCTCAATGGTACCGTCCTTAACTGCAAATATAGCCTGATCAAACTCCTCTGGAGCTCCCCAAAGGGTGACATCTGAGACAATACAATGCAGAAACCAATGACCATTAACGGGGAAAATTTAACCTCAATCAGAAACAGAGGAGAGCAAATGTCCACAAATAAAATAGCTTAAAAATCAGTAACTATCTTTGTTTTAACATATATTGAAAATTAATTCACATCAATTATAAATCATGAAAAAGTACAACTCGAAAAGAGCAAGAGCCAAGACCTAAGAGGCAAAGTCTCTCAGCACCTAGGTAAAGAGAGCATGGGAAAAAGGGAAGATTCAATAGCCATTGAGCAGTCTGTGTTGTTGTGAAAGAGATTAACATTAGATTTGTTAGGGAGATACAGAACTGTGGCACTCAGGCGATTTGAGTCCTATGTGCTTACATGTTTGGCGTTAAAATCTCAAAAAACATAGGAGAACTTGGTTGGATGTTGAAAATTGGGATTTATTTAAGGGCATTTGGTAAAACAAGGAAACCACATATTTCCAAAAAATTGGTCCTACTTGAGGCCATAGTGAAGCCACTTCTTAATTTTCCGTCCACACTGATAACCAGTAAAATTCATAAACAGAAAATTGACATAAATCATCAGAACCACATACAGCTAAAGCATTGTAATGAAGCCCATCATAGATCAGCAGAGCCCTTTCGGAATACTTCTCCTGTCAAAAGTACCCCATATGAAAATGAGCATAAACATCTGACAAGATTAATATACATGAGAAATCACTACAAATGCTATTTCTTGAGCAGTCAATCTTATAGACAAGTGGCTACACAAACTATTTCTTGAACAGTCAAGGCGCAAAAACTTTGTCAAATATATCAACAATGTGCAATACTTTCAAAGAAGACATAAGCCAGTATTGTATAATTAAGGTTTGGATACTTAGTTGGCTATCAGAAATAAGCAAAACTTTCACAAGAAAAGCTTTTCATTGTTCATTTTGTTTCATAACCAATATTCATATACGTAGGAAAAGGAAAGTTTATTTATTTTTAACAAACCTCCCAACTTCTGAGAGTCAAGAATCCAAGCACAATACTATTCATTTGGTTTACCGAGAAATGCTTCAGAATACTTAGTTGGATCACTTGCTACTGTTATTGCTATAACCTTCACATCATGGATGACCACAAAATGATCAGGAAGTATCGCACTTATGCATGCTTAATACAAACATGGAGCTATATATGCACAAAAACTGACCTTAAATGACGGGCGTACTTTTAATCCCTGAATGTTCATATACCTGTCTCAACTCAGGAGCTTTTTTCTTGTCATGGTCCATAGCATACCTACAAATGAAGGGTGACTATTGAATAGAAAAATTGACCTTAAATGACACAGCTCGGTTCATTGCAATAGACAATGGATAGAATAGAAGGTTGTATTGGAGCTTACCCAATCGCATTGAAGAGGCAACTATTGTCTGAGGGAATAACCCTTCTTACTACAATACCTTCCATATTATAAATATTTATACCTGAAACATTTTAACAATTTGAATATTTCAAACGATGATGGTTTTATAATAGACAAGCACAAGCCAAAGAACTGAGAGAAGGAAACACATGAATATTTAATTCAAAAATATGGACCCAAAAAGCATTGAACTCCATAGAAGAGGTTTGTGTGAAGAAGAAACCTTTTGTGATTACAATGGAAAGGTGAACAAAGATTATTAAGATACAAAAAAAGATAGGAGTCCAATCAAAAGTAAACATCTACAGAGAAAGAAAAGAATTACACATAAAAACTTCCTTAAGACTGAATCCTAAAGTTACAGAAGTATGAGACAATACGAAAAGAAGGCTGAGGACTCAAACAAAACCCAACATCACATATTCAGCAGCAGACAGCCAAGTACCAACCAGAACCAGATTCAATTACTGGTAGCAGCAGGCCATGATTGAAAACATTCAAAGAAAAGGAACAAATATAATATAGTGTACAGAAATGAAATATTACAAATTTTTATCAGGAATGAATCTGAAATGAATGAAAAAAAGGAACTTCTAAGAATCCATACTCTTATCAGTTCTTTAAGGTGCCAATAAATGAACCTAATATCTCAAAAGCCTACCCAGAAAACCACCCAGTTATGTGCACCCATAAACAAAACATATTATCGAAATAAATCCTCAAATAATTCCACAAAGGAAACCAACCTTCAGACTTAGAAACCCAATACCAAAGCTATAAAACAAACCCAGAGCTGAATTTGAAACCACCCAAAAGCATAAATTGAAAAAAATGACAAATAAATAATGTGGCAATGAAATTTCCAGATCCAGTAAAAGTATTCGTACCAAGAGCAGCATATTCAAATAGACATGATACAATTTGGAAGAGAAGAGGAAAACAGATAAGAAAAAGAACTCACTCTGTTTCTTCCTTTTTGGCCTAGAAGGTAATGGTAGTTGAGCAAATACTTTGACGAGGAGGTGGTGGTCGCCTGCCTGGTTTTGGCTATGGCTTCTGTGTTTTGATGTCGTCTTCCTTTTTTCTTTTCACTTCTTTTTTTCATTGGGGAGGGAGGGTGGAGTTACAAGTTGAAGCCCAGGTCCTACTAAGCATTAATGTGGGGTCCATGGTCTATCTTGCGTTACGTTTTTCTGCAACTTTCTCTGTCACACTCGATTCTCTCAGCAGTGGCACCCAATCATTCTATTTACGATAACGTATCATGTTGTGGGTGATTAGATTATTACAATGACTAAAATGAAGTAAAATACGAGAAAATGCGTAAATTAAGGTTTAAGTAGGTTATTACCATGACTAAAATTAAGCGAAATACAAGAAAATAAGTAGATTATAAATGCAGAGGATTGGGATCAATGTCACATTGGTTCCTGTATTTGACCTCTTTGGAAAATTTAGTTCGTGTTTTTCAATTTACTTATTGTATTTATAGTTATTTTTTTATTGATTTAAAAAATATTCATTAACCTTTAACGGAAAAGTTAACAGAAAATTATAAACTAAAAAAAGAACACAATTAATTAAAAAGTATTAAAAAGTAAAAAGAAGTGTAAGTGGAGGGAAATGAGTGGGAAAATCAACTCCCAATATATAAAACTAATAAAACACTTTTGACATTTTAGCCCATACCATACCCAGTACAAATATATATTTAATTAA